TTCTTTTATTCCATCAGATTTTTTCCTGTGAAATTGTACTGCACAAATATCACATTGGACAAAATGATCCAGGCTTAAATCGAACATTGTACGCAGCCATTAAAGATCTGGCTTGATTTAAAAATAATTTCAGATCAAAATCTGTGCTGCGTTACTGTGTTATCAAACTGGCACCTTTTGTTTGTGTTAAATCCAGACTGAAGTGATATTTGAAACTCAACGGTTTGGAAAACTCTTTAATAGCTTAGAATAATTCACTCTGAACACAATGGTGTGACTTTTCAAATGGTGGCCTGTGAGTTATGTGGATCTCCCTGGTGTTTATAGATGTGTGGTCAAGCGTCAAGGGCCTAAGTGATTCCTTTAAGTGAGAGGGAAATTCCCTCTTGCTTCTTCTTCAGATCTTTTTCTCATCTAGCTTAGCAGGAAGCAACAGGGATGAATAGCACGTATTTTTGAAAAAGAACCATAGCTAGCATAGTGGTTGCACCTGTTATGTCATGCTTTTTAAATAAACAAACTGAAGAGTTTTTCTATATTATGTTTACATTGTGCATCTTAAAATAGGTTTATTTTAACACACATTAAAATAAGAATATTTGACAATTTACACAGAAATTCTAGAAACGTCTCTGATGTGACAAATTGGGTCCCGTGCTGTAGCTTCAAACATTAAATAGTGGCAATTACTGCTGGCACCACTTTCAGGCACCAGCGGTTTTCACTGGCCTGCACTAATACCCCGTAAACCCTTGCAGGACCCTAAATTATCAACCGAGCCTTGGCTTATTGCTTACGAGTCGCTTGCACGCTTCAGGTGCCACCGCAGAGCACACCCGGTATTTGTAAACACAGCTTGTTAAAAAAGAAAAAAAGAAAAAGAAAAAGAAACCACGCGCTTTAAAGCATTAATGGTTCCTCTGAGGATCAGAGGCACCATGGGGGTGCAGCTGGAGAGATACCTGGATGAACGAAACCAAGACATTCACACCTTCCTGCAGCTGTGCCCGAGTCGAGACAAGGCATTGTTTACACATTTCTGAAAAGAAAAGAGCTTGAGTGGACTTAGCTTGCTCTTCTTCGTCTTTTTAGTCTTTGTACGTTTGTGTGGATGGCCAAAGCAGATGATTTCACATCATAGGCATGACGATAATTAGGCATGTTGAGAACTGGAAGATGAAATGGGTTGTAATTAATACAATGATATATATATTATATATATATATATATATATATATATATATATATATATATATATATATATATATATATATATAGGTACGTATATAGATATATATCCATATATATAGATATATATAAATATCAGCTGATATATATATAGATAGATAGATATCTATCTATCTATCTATCTATCTATCTATCTATCTATCTATCTATCTATCTATCTATCTATCTATCTATCTGTCTGTCTGTCTGTCTGTCTGTCTGTCTGTCTGTCTGTCTGTCTGTCTGTCTGTCTGTCTGTCTGTCTGTCTGTATATATATATATATATATATATATATATATATATATATATATATATATATATATATATATATATATATATATATATATATATATATATATATGTATGTATGTATATTTGTCAGTGACGTTTGTGAGGTTCACAGGTGATTGCTATGGTATGAGGAGAAAACTATAACTATATTACTGCACTTGACTCCACAGCTAGCTCGCTGTTACTGTCTCTTACTCTGCAGTTGTGGAGTCACAATGTCTTTGATCATGAGCGCCCCCTGCCATGAGGCAGGAGAATTGCCTGCCTCACCTCGAGTTTGTTCTTTGCCGTTTCTGATCTTAAGCTAATAAATAATTCAATAGTTTTGAACAAATATCACTTTAAGGAAGACAAACAATGAGAACAAAATAACTCTTTTCACCATTGGATCCGTGGGTCACCACTCTGCCTCGTTCTGCAGAGCAAGTATCAACGAAACACGTTAGACACACAGTTTGTGACAAAAGCTCTGTACATTCTACACATAAGCTAAATTATGGAAAATTATTTCCTACATTAAATATTTTTTGGCCACTTTATTGGCTCCCATAGAACGGCAGCCAGTGCAGTTAGTGGGAAGTTGAGCAATCCAAGGAGAGGCTCAGCTCGCCGCTGCCTCACCAGCTGGTCTTCTGAGCATTTGAATGGGAAAATGTGAAAATTCTGCTATTTTAAAGATAAACTGATCAGAATTTGTTAAGCTAAATGAAAAAATAGCTCTGCCTCCCCTAACTTCACGTCACTGATATACACATGTATATGTTTATATAAATGTATACATATAGTTATAGGTATCTTTATATTAAATCGACATTAACAAAGACATAGATGAACATTTTTCTGTTCATCCGGGAAATGGTGGAGAGGGAGAGCGTGACTAAAGCTACCTGGATGTCAGACAAAATCTGGGTCTCATTATGTGTCTCTGCTTATTTCCAAGCCCAAATGAGCAACTTCATGTTCAAAAACAAGTTCAAAAAACCACAACCCGTGACTCAGTTTCTAGCGACTTTAGAAAAAACCACAAGCCCAAAGTCACTTATAATAATCAGACTTGACAGAAACTGAAAATTACTCTTGATTTTCCCGCAACAAAATGCGCATCTCCCTCCTCCCTCCATTGTTCGTGTTTCTGATCAGCTGATAAATGTCACGTCACTCCCCAAGATGAGCAGAGGAAATAAAATTACATTACTAAAGAAAATAGTAACGCATAGTGATTTGGATAAGCAGCATTTATCTGATTACTGGATTTGGAATGGTAGATTACTCGTTACTGAAAAAAAAAGTGGTCAGACATCAGTGACGCGTTACAAAGTAGCATGTTACTCATATGGCTTAAAATGGCTTCTTAAAATGTTCAGTGGAATAAGTTCTGACTGTTTCAGCGCAGATTGCAACGCGATCCAAGCAGAGGGGGCAGAAAAAACCTCATAACTTTCTTGCCCTTTTCCATACACATGCAAGCTGTCATTAGAGTCTGAGACACAATGGCTTTAAAAGCGCAGAGATGAACAGGAAACTGGAGCTCTGAGGGAGAAACATGGCTCGCATGTTTAGCAGAAACCGAGCCTCACTTTTAATTTGAAGATTCATCTATGTGGATTCTTAAGCGTTCAGGACAAATTATACCATCATGAAGACAAAGGTTACACTTTGACAAAAAAATTGACATGTTTTACAGATCAATGCTACTCTGAAGTTCAGGTAAAAATGTTCTGGAGAGAAGAGATTCCTCGGAAGAAGACGCGATGTTTGAGTGCAGCCACCTGGAGAATCTACAGATATAAAACCCAAAAAACTCATGTTTTTTGGGTATATGATTCCTACTGATAAATAGGAGCAAATAGAGTTCAGTGAGAGGAACAATTTTCTTCTTTTCAGATTAATTTGTACTCCTTTTTTTCAGCAGCAGGAGCAACGGTCAAACGTGTACATGGAGAATTATTTTGAATACAAATGCTGCTTTGTTTTATGCTTCAGCACAACAAAGAGGTGAAGATCTTTTTTTTTGTAAAGTAAAGATTATCGGCTGAAAGAAAAATATTTTTACTGTTACAAAAATATTCAAAAATTCCAACACACACAGATATTTTTAAATTGCACAACTAAGAACAAAACTTGCAACGAAAGTGTCTCAAATCACCTGATTAGAAAACAGAGTCCACTTGTTCTGCAGTTTCATATACTGCAACTCTGTGAAGTCCAAATACATTCGATGCTACTGTAGTTTGAATTATATTAAAAAGTACAGTCATCCTCTAGATTTAGCAGATCAACAGAACTTGATCTAGGCAACTCCTGCCACAGCCAGTCAGCAGGTGGACTAAACAGACTCACCTTTCTGTAGTCAGACAGAAGGATGCAACATATAGATATGTTGCTTTAAAACGTCACCCAGCAGATTACCAGACAGCTCATCGGTCACAACAAAACTTTTAATATCTTCCATATGTTAACATTCAGCTCATCTTCATTGCAAACAAAACAAAACAACAGCAAATGAAAATACGAAAATATGCCAGGAAAAGTAAATCTAAAGACTCATAGCTTGCATGGAGAATCTAAACATAGCAGGAATTGTTTTTTTTCTGATATGTTAATTTCAACTGAGCTGAGGAGATCTGTCTTACTGTCCAACAGAACAAATCAAGTACAGGTCCAAAGTCAAATTCAATGCAATAGACATAGCAAGCCTTTCAAATTGATGTTCATCGACTCACTCCATCCAATATGACTGACGATGTGCTATTGTGAGTAGAATGCATTATCTGTGTAAAATAAAAATCTATATTTTAGATTTGTATTTGAAAAAAAAATCTAAACATTTACACTTTGTTCTAATCTACTGACTTTGTGTATAGATTTTACACTCAGAGAAGTGTAGGATTAATACACAAATATGCTACAGATGTCAGGTTAGTTTTCCTGCAAGTACCTGCATGATTCACAGTAACTAAAAAGGTTTCACATCCATCATATAGGCAACCACATCAAAGTGTCTTTTGAAGGTGTAAACCAGCAAACAACCACTATCTTCTTCAATCAACTCCTGTTCAGGATGCTTGGAGGCAACCACAGAAACCTTCCTATCGTGTCTGTGGCTGCTATTTTCCTATGCAGATAAAAAGGAGACCATGTGGCACTTGTTTGAAATCTCAAAGTGGGTTGGAGAGCCCACTTAAGTGGCAGAGACACATAGGTTTTATTTCCTTTAGTAAACAACACTTGCACGAGCAGGATGAAGTGTCACATCCTGAGGAAAAAGGTTTTTATTGATGCATGTAGCAAAGCCATGTGGAATGTGCAGGTTCAGACCATGGTATGCTGCAGGTGTGCATTCTCTACAGAATTTGCATCATATCAAGAATCTCCCACATACATTATTGTCTGTCTTACAGCAGAGAGGCTTTTGATTGTGAAACAAAGAAAGCCTTAATGCCTCTAACCCAGACTCTTGTCCTTTCTTTTGTTTTTCAGGCTTGATGGAAATCCGATCTGTCAGTGTGGGAGTTGTTGCCATCAAATCTGTCAGTACCGGCCTGTACTTAGCAATGTCCAAGAAAGGCACACTCTTTGGATCGGTGCGTATACAGCCTTACAACGTTGCTTCTGGAGGTCAAGACTTCCAGGTCTAGTCATTGGGGAGGGTTGAAAAGGTACCCAAGTTGAATTGCATGGAAGCATTTCACAAGAACGTGAAAAAGGAGACCAAAGTGTCACACCTCTATACCTATTCTGAGACTGACAATACCTGCATCCTCAACTAGCTTGTTACACTGTCAAAACAGATGATAGAAAAAAGAAAAGAAAACATTGGACAGGGACAAAGAGCCAGCTGGGCTGGGATTGAAGTGGTTACCAATTGTTGTTTGGCATAGGTTTCAAACGTAATCACCTTTCATTGTTGAAATCAGACACACAAAATGTGTGATGTCTACTGCACTAACATCTTAAAAGAAATATCAGTCAGCAAGTACTGCTATGGAAAAGGGACACACCCTACACTAAAACATTATGCATTTACCACATTGGGGATCCAGAAACTTTAAGAGATTCATGGATGGTTGATAATACCCAGGCATCACAGTGAAGATCTTATTTTGGCAGCATGATAGCAATCTGGAACATAACACCAGACCGTCTTGCAGTCAAAAGAGGCAGGAAGTGCCCACACATACAAGTGGATTGGATGTGGTCTGGATTTTGTACCAAAAGAACATCCTTACAATAAAAAAAAGGATTAGCAATGGACAAGTTTTTAAAAATCCTCCCAGTGGAAAATTTTACAGTCAGAACTCAAAAACTAGATCACAAACTATTGCTACCTACTGAGAAAGCAATGAACTGAGCACAATACATTTATTGAGGATTGTTTTGGGTGGCGAAATAGTTCAGATTTTTTTGTGGGCACACTTTGGGTATACCAAGTAGGCATTTTTTTAAGCACAGCCTATTTGAGTACTGTTGCAGGCCATGGATCTCAGGTTGTAGTTTCTTGAGCATGACAATCAGTTTTCTTTTCTGCAGTAGTCCCAAAAGTCAGCAGAGCTAAATTAAATACAGCCAACAAGAGTGTTATGATACCGTTATGTCAAGATTGGCAAAAATCTCTGAGAATTACTTCCGTGTCTATGTTAACTCTATGCCACACAGCAAGATCAAAAGTCCAAAAAGTTTTGATCGCACACCAACAAGATATACCTGATGAAACGGCCATTAATTGTACAATAACTCTTTCATTGATTAGCATGACCAATGAGGCACATTTACTTGAGGACCTTTTAAGTCTCATTATTTTTAATTTAAAAGTTGAAATCAAGAGTATCTGCAATAGGAAAATACACCCCCTGCCACATCTGCAAACACCTGGAAAATCTCTCAGTGCAACAACAGACCTTGACCCTTGAAGGACTTCTTGGAAGCTGGCCTTTGATGGCGCAGCCGGAAAATCAGTCGACGTTGAGATGCAGACCTTTCTGTTAACATCCTTAATCGTCTGCCTCTGTCTGACTGCAGGTGAAGTACAGCCCAAGCTGCAAGTTCAAAGAACGCATTGAGGAAAACGGCTACAACACTTACGCCTCGCTTCGCTGGAAGCACGGCGGCAGGCAGATGTTTGTTTCGCTGAATGGACGCGGGAAACCACGGCGAGGTCACAAGGCTCGGCGAAGACACCCGTCCACTCACTTCCTGCCCATGCTTCCCTCCTAGGCGCGTCGGAACTCTTCCAGGCAGCTCCCTGGCTCACCTGCACCCTCACATTAGTACTGATCTAGATGTGACAACAATCTTTCCTTTTTATTTATCCATCCTCATGTTACATAAATGTACATTTGCTGAGCTCTGTAACATTTTAGAGTTAGAATATCGGCTTCTTAAGTTATTTTCTGCATATTCTAATGAGGTTAATATAATACAGTGCAGTCCGACAAAAAAAAAAATATATATTGTTTTTCTTCACAGTTTCCACATTTGTGTGTCTGTGAAAACTGCATCGAAAGATGTGAGGCATTATGTCTGCAGATGGGTATTAAGAAAAAGAGCAATTAGACAATTGTTTAAAATCGGAGGGAAAGGTGAAGACACTGGGGCTTTGCTCTTTTCATTTTCAAGCAGGTTCAAAGACATCAAAATCTTAAACCATGTACACCATTGAGTTTTAGGGTTTTTTGCAGATTATGTGAATGACCTTCAGATTAAGATTATGTAATACAATAATAGCCACTCCTTTAAAGTAAATGAAGATATAAAATTCAAATTAAATAAAAAACAAATAAATAAAACACATAAAAACTGTGAAAATATGTTTCATAAGAAAAATAACATCATAAGGTGCAATATAATTCATATTGCATATAGTAGTAGTTTACTGTGTTAAGCACTACTCCTTATATTGGGGAACTATTGTATTAAACCATTTTTATGTCGAATTTGGTATGTCTTATTTTGTAAGTCAAATCAGAGTTTAAAAAGAGGAATAAGTTGAGTCTCAGAGGTCATGGAAAAACAAAATATACAAAATCTGATAGTTGGGGTTTGGTGCTGGCCATTTTGCCCCTTTGTTGTTTCATATGTTTTCAGTTTTGTTCATTTAAAAAAGAAAGAAATGGTGTAAAACAGAACATCTTCCATGGGATGTTTCAAACTAACCCTACATCCATTTGTTCTCTCCAGAGGGATATTTTCTACCATGCTTGGGCCATTTTATTTGGGACATTTTCATTCATTTATTTTATTTTGGTAAACTGTCCACATCACCAGAAACAACAAAGAAATAACAATAAACACTAAATAACCCACAATTTACCAAAAATATTCCAGATCACGATCCCTAATCAAACTAAAGTACACAAATAAGTTCAATTCAACATGTTTCCGTTACATAACTTTGATTATATCACAGAAAATTACTTTTAATAATCAAATTTAAAAGAGGGTGCAAAACATCCCCAAAGTGGGTACAGTTTTATGCCTGGTTGGTACAGAGCAAACAATCCTAAAACGTCACAAAGAAAACCATCAGAATTGGAAAAATGTGGAATCACGAAGAGTTGCAGTGACCAGCAATTCTCCATAAATTAGAGAAGAACAGAACGTGATAAGAGCTGATATCGTTTAATACCCTTTGTATACTTCTGTGTATTTCTGTCAGACTTCATCTCACTCTCAGCCAATAGATGATGAGTTGAAAGGCAAGAACATAAACCATACAGCATGTCCCTCACTCGCTGCCACTGCGCATGTTTGTGCTGCAACACAAATATGGTGTCCCATATGGAGCAGACTCCATAAACCATGTACCACCATAAACATTCAAGCTGAGTAGTAAATAGTTTAATCCATACTGCCTCTCTGTAAAGACTTGCTAACCCTAGAAAACACAACTGTTGCTGATAGAACATTTAATATATTTAACACTACTCTTACTCTTTAACTCTTGAAGTTGGTGTGTATTGTTATTTTTGACTCTTTTGTCGGACTCCAAGCAAAATAGCTATATTCAAGTTTTATGTTTGGCTCAGTTTGTATATTACTGCTGGATATTGGTACATTAGTGATCCACTTACTGTATGAAGCAGAGCTAATGGGGGTGATCGTCTATTTATATATCAGTTGTATGTAAAGTTGCATCCTTAGAAAACAATCCTAAAATAAATCGAAGCTAAGTCATTTGAGTGCCTTCGTGGAAGATGAGTTTGGTAAACCTAAATAAAATCTCCAAAACTCATGAGTCACGCTGACTTTCTTGTCTCCCTGGTGACCTCTTATCTGGACCCTGCCGCTGTCTGAGAAATGTTTGTAACATCTCCATCAGAGCTCTGTGACACAATTTGCCCAACTCATCTTGATGAAACCTCACAGCATGAGAGGTCTTGACGAAGATATCCTGCAGCTGGATGAAAGCTCTGCTATGAATGATGAAATTGCTCTTACACATCATTTACACACAAATCAACCATCGAACGGCGGAGGACATCACACGGTCTTCTCAGCGAGCAGAAAGGAGAGTCAACAACACCTGCTTGGGGTGAGTGAAGACCAACCTGTAAGCCAATCATAATGCCTCACAACCCGTAGTGCAGCTTGTAGCCCATTTTAATATTTGTGGAAGGGGTCTGCAAAAAACACTTTTTACCACTAAGATATCTTCATTGTCATCAAGTCAAAAGAAAAGTGATCGTCTATTTCTGCTTGTAGAGAATATGTTCAAACTTCTGTTAACATTTGTGGACCTTCTTACTTAATATTACATAATCCATATAAACTTGCACATTGCTCTTTTGACATGCGAATTTAAAAGGTTTAGCTTCTACATGAAAACAAAGTCTATCTCTATACCTCTGGAGAGAAACGTATACCGAGGCGTTGCAGGTACACGCTAAAACCTGCATTGTGCAACGTAATCTCATTTTCTGCTTGTACTTTGAACCGATTCTCCTCTTTGCCATTGTCCTCGTTCTTTTTGCCCTGCTCTCTCTCGCTCTCTTTCTCTCTCTCCCTTTTAAGCCATTCACAAGCTTCCCCTCTCTCGTTTTGTCCTGAGAATGCAGCTGACTTTTGGTGCCAACTGCAGGCATAGCAAATGGGAGCCGTGATTATCATTGCTCTACCACTGTCCTGTCAATGTTATGCTCTTTGGCAAGGATTCTTTGGAAGTCCTCATCAAAGGCTTTGGTCTTTGATCTCGGGGCATAAGGAGAAACCCTAAACACTGCGCTGAATAAAAAAAGGAATGCCGCAGAAACAGGGCGCTGAGGCTGATGCACCTTTTCCCTGTCTCGTTCATGTCACAGGTGTTTACCCAGCATTACATCAAATCTGAGGTGATTCACACACAGATTGGGCTTGAGCTTTGAAAGATGGCACCTGGCAAGCTGCAAGACAGGCTTCATACGTCTGCACATACGTACACAGCAGGAGGTCCCCAATCTTTAAGAAAACCTAAATCTACTCCGCTGTTTTCATCAAAACTCCACATGAGATATTCTATACAAATCACCTAAAGCACCCTTTATAGAAAAGGATACTCTGAATGCTTTAACCTTCGTTTTGCGGCTGAGTGACAGAAGAAAGTAATAATAGAAACCCATTTTGAAGGCCTCAGCCAAAATCTACAGGGGCACAAGTCATGCTGCTTCAGCGACAACAAACCGCAGACTCTGAAACCTTTGAAACCCTGTGTGGTCATTTTTCTCTCACAGCAGCTGAAAAGAACTGTGGTGGGTGGGAAAGAAAAAAAAGAGAGAGAGAGCCCCTCACCACTCATAATACCAATCTTATGTATGTAGATGAAAATGGAAGAGATGGGAGGGGTTGTGATGAGGGGGGTGGTGGTGTCTGACAGACTAAGGCACAATTTTAAAGCGCTTATTGAATTGCTATTACAGCTCCTGAGACTAATTGTGGCTGTTGTGTGTATCTCGGTGGCCTAGGGGGCTCTGGAGTGGCCCTGTATGCTCTTACTCAGTGGGGTTTTCAAACCGAGTGGCCCTGAAAGAGAACGGGACCACCGTAGATCAATGGCAAACCTTTCACTCTTTCACAGGCCCTTGCTAATCCTTCTCATTTGTCTGCCATTTGTTGAGGCACATTCATGGCTCCCTGAATTTAGGATTAGAGCTTGTTTTGTTACAAAAACAGCCCGAGCTATAACTCTGAATAGATGGGCTGAAGGGTGCGCCAAGGATGAGTGGGGATGTGAGTTTTTGAGTATGTGTGCATGTATGGTTATTAAGTTACGCTTTGATCAAGTTCAGGTAAAAATATCAGGACTTCATCATGTGAAATTGTGTATCTTTTTGGAGATTATATAGAGGCAAGGCTGAACTAAACATTAGTAGAGAACTGACAGAGCTGTTTCTAATGCTGTGATTTATTTTAAAATAGTTTGTAGAAAAGTACAAACACACAAAACAAAATATAGGAATAAAGGGAACACTGTCCTCCTTACCTCAACCAGGTCACATTGACAATACAGTGTTTTCTGTCAGAGCTGTACATGGCTATTTTTGGCAAAATGCTTTCAAGTAAGAGTTAGAAAAATTTGGATTTAGGATCCATCCATAACCTCATCTGCCTTGACAAAGACTCCAGTTTCATCTAACAAAAACACACTCCTGAGCACTAATGCAGCCACCACCTTTACATGAGACGTTTCTACTCTAAACATACCATTTGGAGTAATGGTTCAAAAGTTCCAGTTTGGTTTCATCACACACGTTCTTCCATAAAGTTTGTTAAATTCTCTTTGAAAGAAAACTCTTCGGTCATACTGTCACAGTTCAGATATATTGAAAATAAATTTTTGTCAAATGTACACAAGCAGAGCTTCTTCAGTACTGCTCTCAGCCTCATACACAAATCAACCAGTTTTAGGGTGAATCACATTTTGCAACATGACAAAATGTGACAAAAATAAATAAATAAAATAAATTCAAGGTGTATTATTACTTTTGCACAGTTCTGGTTCAAGTTTTTATCATAAAGGATTTACTTCAAGATCCCAGTAAGTAACTTAAAAGATAATGTTATCCAGCAGAGTCGATGTGGTTCTTCCTTTCATGTCTTTGTGCTTCTGTCCACATTCACACAGTGAGAATCAAAACAGACTTTCCTGTCCCTGGAGAAAATATTTCATAAAAGCGAGGGGAAACATGAACAAATTGATTCATCACACATGAAGCACACGCAAAGGAAATACAATTTCATGAAAACAAACGTTCCCTCCGGAGTTCGATATTATTATTACTTTTTGCACCAAAGCTGTGAAACTTTTCCAAGCATAGTGCTGGCAGGCTGCAGCAGCCTCAGGGCAGCTCGTCACTGAGTGGAGGAGTGTTCATGTCTGAGGCCACTTAGTGAAGCTTAAATGGGGCTGCTGAGTGGCACCTGCACCACGTTTCCCCTCATCCCTGCCACACCTTGATGCAGGTATTTGTGGTGCCGACTGGTCAAAATTACACGGCGCAAATGCTCTGGATTGTTGCTGTCGTGCCACACACTGGGGGACTGAGATGGAGGGATGAGTGGAGAAAGGATTTTGTGAAGAGGAAAGTTGGACATAAACAAAGATACATTAGAGAATTTTACTAGGAATATGTGCTTTCTTGCTGAGCACAAGCTTGCTGCAGTTGTCTTGTTTGACTATTTAAAAGGTAGATATATCTATAGATATATAGAGACCAATTTTGTATCCCTCTGAGAAAAACATAAAACATTGAAATACACTTGAAACCAGATGTTTACATAAACCGGTCATGTTTCATCAATGTT